CACAATTATTGTTTTATGTTTTTAAATTTGTGGCAACAACAAGTGTTAATAAACAACATTTCTGTTTTTTTATTTTCACTCAAAAAAACAAAATTATGTTTTTACTTTCTTAAGACTACAAAAACAGAAAACGAAAACGTTACTAAAGGTACCCTTAGCAATTAACATGAAGTACAGTTGGCAAACTTGGCGTATGAAGTTGACTCCAAGTCTTACCACCACCTTCATAATTTAATGAAAGGGAAGACGAGAAAGAATCAAAAGTTTAAAAATTTTTGAGTCAAAAAGCAACTGCGTAATTACGAATGACGCCTTTCCTAAAAGGCTTCCTTACTTTTAATTTTTAACATGTAGGCTCCAACCGTTATGTATGTTTTTTTTTTTTTTTTTTTTTTTGTATAAATTCGATGTGTCATGATAGATTTTCACAAAAATTTTGAATTATTTAATTTTAGTTCTAACGGTTATTTTATAACTTTTGTGTAAAAATATATCTCTCAATAACAATCAACCATGTGTCATGCCAGGACCCACATAACTTTTACAAACTTGCTTAATATATGGTTGATTCTTTAATGAAATGAGAAAGATGAATGAAAAAGGAAATATATTAATTTGGCCGTGTAAAGAGGTTGTGTATTTTACACAATCCTTTTACACATTGGTGATGTAACAATATATCTTAACATACTGCTAGAGATGAAAAAAATTTACACATCATAGGCGACAGTGTATATTTTACATAAAATGGTATTTTAACATACCGCTGGAGATGCTCTAACACACTTTGAAAAAGTTTTAGAATTACATTTTACCCTTCTGGATTAATTGTCCAAAATATTTTGAATAATGATATCTCATCACGTATACCATGAAAATTGGATCAAGACGTATGACTAATTTTTGAAACACGGTTTAAATTTTAAAGACAATACTTAAGTCTTCACTAATGAAGATTACAACATACTCACTGTTGACGTAGACCAATAATAAATAGACATATAATTTTTAATGAACAATTATTAGGTCCATTAAAAATCAAACAAAATTTAACACATGGATCAAATGATTGCATAATAAATTTTCGTGATGCATGTTATAATTTATTTTCATTAAATATGGCAATACTTACAATAAAAAAAATAAAATGAGACCCTTAGACTTCAGATGGTGCTGTCTTTAGCTTCAAAGGAGTGCATCTCCAGACCATCTTAAAGTAATCATACATTCATACAATTAGTTGGAAGAAGCTCTTCAACATGAAAAAATAAGCCGACATACCCAAATGAATGGAAATAATCAGCAAACATATATGATTTGACCTGGCCCCGGAGGATTTCTTTTTAAAAAATTTATTATTATTTTTTTAATATATTTTAAATTACATTGAATCTCATTTTTATAATAGAAATAATTACAAAACCATTTAAATGTGTCATAAAAGTATGTCAAATGTGTTGTTGCATTGTCTCAATTAACCGTGTCTAGTCAAGACTTCACCGGCACTAAAGTATTGGAATTGGATTTCTGTAAGCTCTTCTCTGCAATATTCTTCTCAAAAAAACTCAATCCACTTGTTTGTAGTACCATTGCCTCCATTTTCTACCGAACACAAGTGGCCACGTGATAATTCCCAAACCCAGAGACTGTAGATCACAGTTGCTCGGGAATGTCCACGAAACATTTTCGCTCAGCTTATTATTTCTCAAACTCAATACCCCAAGTGTACCCGTGCTCTTTTCTATCAAACATGTTGGTATTCTCCCACTCAAACAATTATTGGACAAATTTAGGGTAACAAGGGCAGTGGTAATGACATAGGAAATCAAAAAGGAGATTATGAGAGAGATTCATATAATAGAGACTTCCACTGCCTACTTCCCAAATCCAGTTGGGTATCATTCCATCAATTTGGTTGTCTGAAAGGTCCAATTCAACCATACTTGATTGGTTTATGAGATTAGGAAAATTTTGCAACTTGCAAGAAGCTAATCTTGTGTTTCTACATAAAATATTCTTTTTAAAAAATATATTTTTCTTTTTAGATAAAATATTTTTTTTATTTTTACTTCGTCAGTGTTTGATAAAGGTCTACGTTAAGATTGAGGTCGAGTCCATCGGGCGAGGCATATAAAATAACTTGTCGAAAATTAATGAATAAGTTATTTTCGTTAAATTTTAATATTTTTTTTTCTTCGTAAATATTTTACGATAACCGAACACCAAAAAATAAAAATAAAAAATTATATTTTCTTTTACGTTCAAACAAACGTAATCCAAATGTAAATAATAAATCTTGGGGATGGAAGACAAGCTTGAACCACTACTACTACTGCCTCCTCACATATCAGACTCAAAAATGTTAAAACTCACCGATTAATTCAAGTTCTCAGACTTGATTTTGGAATTTGGGTATTTTGATGTTTGATATTCAAGTCTAAATTGGATAATGAATTTAATTTTGTACACTCATTCACTGTGCTGTGCGGAAGCGCTTGAGACTATCAAGGTTGGAGAATGCCGATCCGCAGTTCCCAACGCAGCATCCTCACTCCTCGGACATAAAAAATTATAACCAAACTTGTTTCAAAGTTATTCTATTTCAATATCAATTTTACTCATAAATTTTACTCATTTTATATATATAATCATAAATGAAATTATCAATTTGGAATTTAGATGTTTGTTGTTTTATTTTTAAAAATTTTTATATTATTTTTTTAAAATTTTATTCAACCACATTATTGTAAGAAAAATAATACAAAATCAACCCTCACGTGGATGTTAGTGGTGTCATTATAATGTCTCAACCGCATCTAACCAAAAAAATAAAATATTTAAATTTTTGAACATTTTTAGAAGTGTCCGGCACATGTCTGGTCCACCCCCACTTGTGTGTGATACAGTTGGTGCTTCCTAGTGTACCACTCAATTAATTGGTCTAGAACAAAATTGCAAGAATTTCTTTTTCAACTTAAATTCTGCCTTCTCGTTCTAACTTTAAAAGATTAAGTGAATGTCGCTGATCAGGTTCGTGAACAAGACTATACATACACTCTCAAGGTTTATCTATTTCAAGGGTAAGTCAAATTACAAAATAAGCAATCAGATATAAAATGATACCTTCCAAAAGAACTAATCAAACATTTCTTCACTAATCTTACAACAAATACAATGATGATCAATTACAGTCTCCTTCAGCGAAGCAATTAAATTACAAGCAAAAAACTAAATTAAAATAACACGCCCATGAGAGAGAGAGAGAGAGAGAGAGAGAGAGAGAGAGAGAGTCTAATGCTAAGATCTAGAAGGAGAGAAGAAGAACCAAATAAGGCGTCGAAGATAAATAAAGTGATATTCTAAGCTAAAAATGAAACATGAATCCCTTTGATATAGCCATCATGGTAATATTCTACTTGGATTTATATAGGACCCAGCTATTCATTGAAAATCAGTATATTTTTTGGATAAATTTTTATTTATTTATGAATAAAGTGCAAAAAAATTCTTAAACTATGTTTGAATTTACAAATAACCCTGAATTATATTTTGTGCATAAAACCCTCCAAACTATCACATTTTTTTGCAACATACCTCAATATCTATACTATATTTAATTAAATGACCATAATGCCCCTTCTTATTGAATTAAATTTAATATTTTTTTCTTATCCAAATAAATTATAAAAAAAAAATTCATACTAATTTGATGACATATTCTCCATTAAATTTGTTTAAATTTATCTTTAATTTTTTTAATTAATTATTTAAATAAAAAAATTTAGGTGCAAATTTTAAAAATAATTACTTAATTTTTAAATTTTTACTGAATATATTACATGAAAAGAAGGCATTTTTTAAAAAATATTTTATTAATTTTTCATCAATATATTTTATGAAAAAAAAAGATATTTTTTACAATAAAAATGTTTAAATTGGTTATAATAAGTTTTACTATAAATAATAAAGTTTTAAAAATAAGTTAATCAATTTAGAAAATGGTAGTTACAAATCTATTTATCTTTTTTTTTCATTTTTATGATAAATTGAAACTATAATAAAATTAAGGTAAATAGTATAATTAATATTTACAATAGAGAAAAGATAATAAAAACAATTTAATAAGAAATGAAAATTTTAATGAGCAAGGGTAAAATAGTCTTTTAAGATCTCACCATTTAAGCTCGGGGCAATTTTTACTTCAAAGAGGTTATTTGCAAAAGAGCAATAGTTTAGAGGGTTTTTCGCACTTTACCCTTTATTTATTTGTTGCTATTTTGTTATTATTATTATTTGTGGGAAAGGGAAAATCACTATTTTGCATATGCTAGACTGTAAGAATTTACATAAGCATAAATCAGTATATTGGGAAGTGGCATCAAGAGGAAGAGGAATGAAGCACTGTTCATTGTATTAAAGTAGGTTATTTCATATGTTGGTCTTCCAAAAAAATTACTGTATATGTTTTGAGAGCAAGACAATAAATATTATATGATAGTTAACCTATTACTATTTACTAATTAATCAATAGCTTAAAGAAGAAATTTTAGGGTCAAGATTCAGGATCATAAGATCTCACCATTTAAGCTCTCAAAAGAATTGATTATCATGCAACATTTTATTTCCATATTTCTATGCTTAGCAAAAAGGTGCTGCTCCAGTTGAACTTTAACAACCCTGGAGTTCAAAACTATATAGCAAAAGTTTTATTGATTATAAGAAATTAACAAACTTCTGAGGGAAAAAAAAAAGAAGAAGAAATAAATTAACAAACTGCACCAAGTATCAAAATAAATTATACATAAAAGGATTTGCATTTCAAACATCTCAATAGTTTTTATGCTAGTCTCAATATTTTATAAAAACACTTCAAATAAATTACTTACCGTTATCAGGCAATAATATGCAAGCTTGCTCATATGCATTGACAAATCTGTTCCGGTCATTGGAACGACTCAAGTCAAGACTTCAAGTTCATCATAAGTACTTTACTACGTCCCTTACGTCTCTTCACCAGCACTAAAGCCTTGGAATTGGATTTCTGAAAGCTCTTCTCTGCAGTTTTCTTCCCAGAAAAACTCGATCCACATGTTTGTAGTACCATTGCTTCCATCTTCTACAAAACACAAGTGGCCAGATATAATTGCCAAACCCACAATAAATCCCAGTGCAACACTCAGGTAGACTTCAGTCTCAAACAATGAATGCCTTTTTTCGAACGTTGGTGGCGAAACTTGTGCAACTTCAGTATTATTGCAACTTGTGTTCAAAGGAAAGCCGCATAGCAATTTGTTTCCTTGAAATGAAGTTTCTGAAAATGTCTGAAACTGTGAACCTGTTGGAATTTTTCCAACCAAGAGATTGTATGACACATTCAAGACTGCAAGAAATGTAAGACTTGCAAGCTGTGTTGGAATCATCCCACTTAGCATGTTCTGTGAAAGGTCTAATGCCTTGAGCTCCTTCAAATTTCCCAGTGATGCTGGAATTGAGCCTGTGAGGGCGTTATGTGATAAGTTGAGAAGAACAAGCGATTTGAGATTTCCAATAGCATCTGGTTCAAATCTATTGCTTGAAAAATCAATGGATGTACAAATAGTTAAAACTTTCACCAGCTCCACCTCTAACCCCTTGTAGATGAGCGCCACTTTATCTGAATAGTACATATTTCCATACTGAAAACCCAGTTGATTAAACTTTGGTTGTGCACTATCCTTGTCAATCATCATTGTCTTCCAATTAGAGAAAGAACCTGATGGTAGATCACCGCTAAAGTTGTTGAAAGCTAGATCAATGATCTGAAGATTCAGGCAGCTATTTTCGTTCCCCCCTTGGCAGCCAATGTCTCCTTGAAACCTATTAGAGCGCAAAACTAAAACACGTATACTGGATGTATTCTCCAAAAAACATGGAAATCTATCACTGATCTTGTTCTTTCCGAGGTTTAGCACCTCTAAACTTGTACAATTTGACAATGATATCGGAACCCGCCCTTCCAACTGATTACCACTGAGATCCAGAGTCTGTAGAGCACAGGAACTCGGGAATGTCCTTGAAACATTTCCATTAAGCTTGTTATTTTTCAAATTCAGTACTGCAAGTTTACTCGTGCTCCTTTCGATCAAACATGATGGTATTCTTCCACTAACAATTATTGGACAAATCTAGTATTCTAAGGAACGGCGCTTCGCAAATTGATTGAGGGATAGCTCCAGTGATGCTATTATTTGACACACAGAAGAAAATTGCACCAGTGATACCAATATTAGCAGGGATGGAAGAGCTGAAATTATTGATTAAGAAGTCCATGTATTCAACTGATTTTGGTGGTATTGGGATTTCCCCATAAAACTGGTTAGAGTGTAGGTCAAGGACAACAAGGTTAATGGGGATGACATAAGGTTTTTGAAAATCAAAAAGCAGATTATGAGAAAGATCCAAATAATTGAGATTGTCAATTGTCAATTGGTCCAAGTAGGACAGACTTGATTCGTTCCTTAGGTCAGGAAAACTTTGCAGTTTGCAAGAAGCCAAATTTAAACAGGGGGATGGAAGACAAGCTCGAAATACTACCACTTGTACCAATTGACAAGCTATTGTATGAAAGGTCAAGTGTAGTAAGATTACTCAGCTTGTACACCGTTTCTAGTTGTAGAAGGCCACTGAAGTTGTTCGAAGAGAGTGAAAGCTCAGTGAGCTCTCCGAGCTCAAAGAAAGACATGGGAACCCGACCTTGTAAATTGTTACTACTCAAATCAATGGACTCCAGTAGAGAGGCGGAAGCATTAGAAAATTCTTCGACTTGACCATCAAAACTGTTAAGTGAAAGCTGAATCACCTTCAGAGATGGGAGTTCAAAAAGAGATGATGGAATACCCCCTTTGAGTGAATTATTACGCAAATCAATTGCTTCAAGATTCGAGAGTCCGTCAAAGTGTGAGAAAGGAATCACACCCGTAAAATTATTGTTGGATAAGTTTATTCTTGTGAGATTGTTGGACATCGAAAATGAAGGGATTGGACCGGTCAACATGTTCCAAGACAAACCCAGATGAACAAGTTGGGTGAGGTTTGCGATTGAACTTGGAATTGGTCCACTGAAACTGCATTCGTAAAGGTCTAGAGTGGACAACATCCGAAGATTACCTAAAGAAATTGGTAATCTCCCAGAAAATTTTGTGGAAATGAGATACAAGGTTTGAAGAGATCCATTCTGAGAAAATTCTGGCAAAGAACCCTCGAGTAGTTCATTGCTCCATAAATCAAGCGTACGTAAAGTTGATATGTGGAAGATTTTTTCTGGAAAAGTTCCATGCAAATTACAATTTCTGAGACTTAATTCTGTCAAATTCGTGAAATTTGCAAAGAAATTTGGTACTGGGCCAGTCATATTGTTCACACTCAGATCAATCACCGAAAGGGACAGGAGATTCTCCAAGGAAGAACAAAGAGGACCTGATAGATCACAATGAGCCAAGCGCAACACTTGCAAATTAGGAAGTGAAGAAGATATGGCCTCACACCATTCCTCTCCCGTGGATGATATTTTTACAAAATCAAGATGGAGTTCTGTAAGCTCCGTGAGATTCTGAACAAGCAATTTCAAATTTGAGGTTTCAAGTTGATCATTAAAAAAGTGTGAAGAGAGAGAGAGAAATCAAGCGAGACCAACCTTGTCAAGCGCGAAATTCCTATTGGAATTTCCCCAGCAAAGTTCGCATGTGACAAATTCAGATATGTCAAACTAGTTAGCTTCTCAAACCCAGACGAAATATGCGTAGAGTTGAAATTGTTGTCGGCCAAATTCAGGCTTTGGAGATACCGGAGACCAAAAATACTACTTGAATTGTGGATTCCTCCAGAGATTGATTCATTCCTCAAGTCAAGACCGATAACATGGCCTACATTGTCGCATCTTACACCACCCCACTCGCAACAATCCGTAAGATGATCCCAGAGCAGCGGCTTGTTTGAAAGCGACGAATTGAATTTTAGGCTGTCCTTCAACTGAAGCAACAAAATTCTCTGATGGTCTAAACACTGGCTGTGTACTGGGATGATATTAATGCAGAAGATTGAAAGTGTGGTGCACAAGAAAAGCCATAGAAAGAGTGAGAACCTCATTTTAGGCAATTATATATGAGGAACAATAAACACCAAGCAATGAAGTGGAAGTGAAGAGGTGTTGTTGGGGGGGGTGGTCAGTGGTGTGGCTTTAAAGGTGCATCTGGGGTTGACCCGTGAGCTTCACCGCTGCTGTATGAAGTATGAACTTCGCTTGGAGTTCTTTGGAAAAGCTAGGGGTAACCCCATTAGGCATTAGCTTCTCTTCTGACTTTGTGGCTTTAAGATGTTGCTGGGGTGACCCTTCATGCAGCTTGACATTTTAACACCAAAAACAAGGATCCACGCAGTAGTGAAGAAAGAGAGCTCGAGATGCAAGAATAATAGAATGACTCCAAAATCGAGACTTCCGGTGCCTGATATTATTGACAATGCATTATCAATAATATCATTCACAATGTTTGACCGGGAATAATTGCAATGGCCAACTGTGGCATGTAGGAGCTAGCTTCTTGAATCACAAGTGTTTCCAAGCCTTGAGGCCGAACTTTTATTGATGAATTGTGAATCTCATGAAATATAAATATTATTGTGTTCTTTATGAATTAAATTCTGATAAATTTTAATTTTAGTTCCAACAGTCCTAAAATCCTAATATATTATACTGTGTTCGTGTTTGTCCCAACAGTCCTAAAATCCTAATATATATATATATATATATATATATATATACACAAACACATATATATATATATACATATATATACTGTGTTCGTGTTTGTCTACGAATGACAATTTACTAAACACAAACATTTGATCAAGCTGATTTAATATGCTACACTCAAATACATGAAAGCAACTTTTAAATTCTTTCGTTTACTATTCTATGTACTTTATGTTTTCTGATTTTCAAAGTTTAATGAATTATCCTATATTAATTCTACCCTTTAGCTACAGGGCGATGTAGCTTATTCGAAACAAGTCAATACTAATTTTTTCTTCCCATGGGGGAAGAAACACACACAAGTCGTTGATGGAATCCAACCCATGAGCATGACTGTCACTAGTATATGGAGTTGACTCCAAAGTCTTGGAAGAGAAAGTCAGAAAGAACCACTAAATCAAAATGCATGAAAGGAGAGCATGAAACAATTAATAGAATGACTCCAAAGTCTTCAGAAAGGTACGCTCCAACTTGTTGGATTTCTAAGTCACCCTTTAAAGGCCGGAGGTTGCAATTGCTAACTGGTGGCCGGAATTAGAGACTCTGCTACGTTTTCACATTGAATAAGAGATTCACATGCTCTGTCAGGGCATGGAACGAGTTGTATAAAAATAAAATTTAAAAAAATTGTATAAAACATAATATAAGAAAAAAAAAAAAAGGAGGAGCTATTTCATTAACCATAAGTTCCTATACAAGTGACATAGATATGTATGAAAATAAAAATCCAAGTAAAAAATGGTAAAATGAGGAGAAGTTGGACGAGTTATATTCTGGTTTTCAAATCCATTCCTTAATCTTTCAAAAGTAAAAGTTTTTAAAGAAGGCTAAATTGAGATTCCTTGTGAACTTCAGGAGCTGAATGAAAAATCTTTTCGAAAATTAGTATCTACTATATATATATAGGCCCAATTATTGGCCCTTTTTCCAAAAATTGTAGAGGCCCATGGCCCCTAGGTTGCACGCCGATACAGAAATGAGAATCACAAATGCATAAATACCTGTACTAAGTATATAAACTTTTACAATATGATCTAGGTAGGACATAAGTAGTAGAGCAAAATCAACTTGTGCAAGCCCTTAATATATATATTTTACATCAAGCTCCTAAACACAAAAATATATATCACACAAAACCTACATCAGAAAAATCAATAACTAATATAAAAGAGCATACAATTCTCACAGATACATATTTGCAAATAGACATGTATCTATGCATATATACTGATTATGTATAAAGCAAGCAGATGAGTATCAACATCACAAGTGATGAAATCAATCTTGAGGGTACACTTGTATTGGTGGCAACTAAAGCAAGCTTTGTGTTAAACCATGTTATCATTTTCCAAGTTTATACTTCAGTATTTTAGCTCAAAAGAAAGAAAAAAATGTCGAGCCCATTTTCAAAGGCCAAAAACATAACACAACCAACAACCATAAACAATTCTTAGTTCTTTTCCAAAATCAATCAACAATAAAATATCATATTCTTGTAAAAACACAAAACTAGTTCAAAATCCAAATTAAAACAACACCTATCAATAAATAAAATCAAGAAAATTAAATAAATCAATTAATGAATACCTAACTGAAATTTACATAAATACGGACATATATATACACACACACACACACACACAATTACACATCCACAGTAGATATAAAAATAGAAATTTGGATCTAAACAACAATTTAATATAATTAGTCCAAACCATATTGTTAACGATTACTCATTTAAAATGAGGATCCCAGGTACCAAATTAATAAGGAGCAAAGAATACTTATGAAAATTAAAGAATAGGAAAAGAAAAAGAAAAAAAAAAACACCCACCCTGTCACAAAAGACACTATCAAACATAAACATTGCAGTAGTACTGATGGATCACCAAGAAGATCACAAATAACAACATCCAATCGAGGCAGTCAGGAATACCATTTATACATGAGAATTAAACACTTACGAATTCAACAATCAAACCCAATGCTAGTATGAAAACCAGTAGAGATTAACCAAGAAATTAATGTATAAGAAAAACAAGAAGAAAGAAACAAATTGTTGTCATACATGCCAATTGATGGAAGCAGACTCAACCTTTTGCTCTCGATGGTGTACTCCTGATCAATAACCGGATCAGAAGTGTTCAATGGTCCGCAAACATAACGAATCAGAAGCCTTTGGAGCGACCGCACCGGTCGAGGATTAAATTTTCTTCTAGGATTCACAGCGACGAACGGAAGTGTTCAAAGTGAAGAGAGAGCGAAGTTCGAAGGTGTAGCGTTTCAGAGTGGAGACAGAGAGTCGTCGGTTTCACAGACGCGGAGTCGAGAGTCGGGGTGATGGGGTTTGCAATTGGATAAAACGCAAAATGACTTACGCAAGTTTTGTTGATAAATCGTTTTGGTAAAAAGACTGTAAAAATTTTACCAGGTAAAACATTTTACTTTCTTTTGGAACAACTAAAGACCCCATAAATTCTTAAAATATTTTACATAACTCCGTTTGTTTGGATGTAAAATATTTTTTTGAAAATAATTTTTTATTTTATGAAAAAAAAAAAAAAATTAACAAAAATAACTTATCCATCAATTTTAAATTGAAAAAATAAAAATAAAACAATATTTTACCTGAAAAAGAAAATATTTTACATTGAAATAAATGGAGCCGAAAACAAATAGATAATGAAGGGTATCCTGCCCTAGCGGTGGGTTTCTTCCCCAATGTCCCCATGATTATGGAAGGGCAAGGTTTTGAGCTCTCTTGAGCCTCGCATCATAATTTAACAAATTATTCACTGACTTTCTTGCCTTTAAAAAAAATAAATAAATAATTATCAACTGGTCATATGAGGATGTCACGGACGAGTTTATAAGAGTACTTTTTTTAATTTTCAACTGGTCATATGAGGATGTCACGGACGAGTTTATAAGAGTACTTTTTTTTAATTTTCAACTATGATAGTTATTCTTTTTTCTTTTATACAAGTAAGACATTTATAATTTATCAATATAAACGAGCAACACTTAGCAAGCAAGACTTTTCCCCATCCCTACCTTGTGTAAATTATTAGAGAAATTAATAGGTAGTTTGATACTCGATAAATTATTAGATGGTCATGGACCATTTGACATTTGGTAGACTAATCCATTCAAAACTAATGTAATTTTTTTTTGTAATATATTAATACACTCTTGTACGGACATTGTTTTCAAATTGAGAATTTAAACTGGTCTACCAAGTGTCAATGGTTCAGAAAAATCTAATAATCTCTCCCGATACCCACCAGCAAATTTATTGTCCCAACCACTAATATATTGCCACATAACATATTATGTCAAATTTTTGTCACCCATCTTTACACATTAGCACATACCATCTTTTCCCAATCTCTCTCCCTGATTTTTCTCTCAGATCGAAATTCTGGTGATTATGGGAAGACAACGTAAACCTTACGCTCTCACACGATGCCATGATGCCACCGACTCCAACGTTTCCTTTGATGTTCCCTTTGCTACTTTCATAGTGACGTCGTTTATGGCCGCGAGGGCTTGCCCAGTGAGGAACATCTTGTGGCAGAGTATTTGGCTCTCTGCCTCATCATGCTCGCTCGAGGTGGTGCTGCCTCCACCACCACCCCCAACGAACTAACCAACTATCCACAGTCTCCTAATCTCTCTTACTTCTATAAATATTGAGAGAAAGAATTAATATGATATTGTATTCCATTATATGTATACAGTATAATGGGGTCCTTAATATAGGAGAAGGTTATGAGTAGGTGAGTGATGAATAAGAAACCTATAAATAGTAATATTGTAAGTGTAATCATACATGGTAATGTGTAGTGTGCAAGAAACCTAGGTAGTTGGTAAAAGGGTAAACTTATAATCTAATATCCCCCCTAAACTCAAAGTGAGAATGGACCCAACTTAAGATTGAAGGCAAAATTATGAAGACGAAGATTTGGTGGAAATGGGTTTTGTAATTACCCGGTCATTTTCCTTCCTTTCCTTTTTCTCAGAATTTTACGGATAAATTTTTTTTCCGTTGAATTCTCTTTTCTGAGTTCGGTTACTCATCACTTAGTGTCGTCTCAAGTGCTCGAAAATGGTTTTCGAGACTCTTTCCTTTAGATTGACAATTTCCTTTAAGGATCAAGTCATTTCCACATTTTCATTTTTTGGACACTATTCACTTTTTTGTCTTTTTCCCGTTTGTCACCTTGTTGGCACAACCTCACTTTTAATGTTCAGAGTTGAGTTTTAACTTCACGAGTTTTCATTTCAGTTGATTTCCTCGAAACGCGTAACTTTACTTTTAGAGAAAAGCTCGTCG